GAGTAGAAATCACAGAGCATTCTCATAGACCCACATGCTATTTTTATTATGCAATATTTCAAACAGACAGGGAACAGGAAATAATATAACACAATAAGCATATGTATATATATGTATGTGTGTGCATATGTATATGCACGAAAATAAAATGATTACTTTTTCCTAGCCGCAGACAAAGCTACCATTAAAACTTTGCTAAAGGGTAAAGCTTTATGGATCTTTTTAAGATCTTTTTCTGTTTCTATAAACATATATATTTTACAAATTCATACTGTTCTCTGTATATTATCACCCGGCATTTTTTAGTGAAGAATCACCATTTTCCATGCCAGTGATTTTTCCATTTCAATACCCATTCTATAGCCACATTTCTCTAACCGTCCTAAAAAATGTGCTTACAAGAGCTTTTTTGGGGTCACCCACAATATCCAAGCCAGCACAGTATCAGATTTTATATCGACACGGTTCTTGAAGCCTCCAGTCCGTACATTTTCACCAAGAGTGCCAAATCGATCCTATTTTTAAATACGGTCACATTCTGAGATACTGGGGAGTTAGAGTTTTAACGTACATTTTTTAGGGGACACAGTTCATCCCGTGGCAGGCACACAGATTTTCCACGCAGTTTCAGAGAGTTCCATCTGTGACACGCCCACGTGTCGTCCCGGCCCTGCTTCTGCTGGAGGAGTAGCCGGGACGCGCAAACCCCAAACCCCGCAAGGTTCGGGCAGAGGGAAGAGAGTCGACCAAACGCAGCACGGTACTTCCAGAGAGGAGGCCTGTCGGTCTCCACGCAGGAGGTGACCCTCTGCCGTGTCCCCTTCTCAGTGAAGCCCGCCTCGCCGGGGGACCTGGCTTTCCTGTGGCGGCCGGAGGAGGTCACGGTGACGTGCCCCGACCTGCCCTACGACGGTCTCCTGTACGAGGTCCAACACCGCAGCACCTTCGACACCTCCTGGCAGGTGAGTCTGGCGGCGGCGGCGGTTGAGGGCCACCGTGAGTGAGTGTCCCCAAGATGTGAGTGGTGGGGTGTGGTCCTTCCCGGGACTCCTTCCTCTCTGTGTCCACCTTCCTGCAATTCATCCGACCATTTCTCCTCTCTCTCTTTCTCTCTCTCCTTTGTATTTTTCTATCCACACACACACACACACACACACACACACACACACACACAGAGTCCTGTGCCACACAATCCCGTCTGGCCTTGGCCGGCCGCACACACGACAAAACTCCCCTGTGTCTGTAACGGGGCTGCCCGGAGCAGATGCACCTTTGAGAGTCTTCCGTACTCAGGAATAACTGCGCCTTCTCTGTGTTTAGACACACGAGCGCTTGCCATCGTGTTGCAACTGTCTGCCGTGCCCGGTACGGCCACACGCTATGCGGGTTTGTGGCCAGGAGCAGGAGGCTGCTCTCCACAGCTCGGGGGTGGCCTGGCTGTGCCGTCTGCGTTTGCGTAGGTGCAGCTCTGTCTGCGGTGTTCACGCAGCAGCTACATCACCTAACGACGCGTCTCTGAGAACAGATCCCTGTCGTTGCGTGATTGCGTGGCTGTGTGTCTATGTGTGTGTGTGTGTGTAAATATGCATGTAATTACAGATACCCTATCGATGTAGGCACACACTCATTTACTATGTCCAGGTATCTATACATCTGTACAGATGGATAGATAGACATAGAATGGGTATATGCACCTGGGTGTCTGTCCA